GGGCGGGGGTTGGTATGGTGGAGGTCAGTCGGTTCGTCTAGGTTCTATACATCTGAATAATGGAGAAGCGCCTCTATCTACATGCTAAATCTATCGGCTAACAAGATGTTGGCATTAACCTCGGTTGTGTAAAAAGAAACTACACAAACAGAGAACGTACCGTCCCGTCTTCGTCAGTGCAGGATCGATACACTTAACAGATACCACGATCGACTATCCCACCAGATACTAAGTCTCTAACAGAAACTACCGTCTGGAAAGTAATCGTCTGGTAAACCAGTCTCTTCCACGGAGAAATACACGGGCACTTACCCACTCGGGTCGACAGCAGGCATGGGTCTATCCAGTGGATGCAATACAACCTTAAAGGGACTTTTCTCACGTGGGTATATGCATAAGAGTGTCACCGTGTATGTGTGTGTTATGTGTGTCTATATGTGTGGGAGAAATTGACGTTGCTTTCCTCTCGGATTTGCTGCCGGGTATGTATTTGATAGAAAGAAGGGATGAGAGATAGATAGAAAGATAGATAGATTGATAGACAGACAGATAGACAGAGGCTATTAGATTCGGGACGACGTTACTGAGGCGAATATATATATATATGTACGTGGGACCGAATATCGGGTTTTTTTTTTATCGTGGGCGCTCTCTCAGAGGGGTCTGCACATCCCCTGATTGTTTTATATAAAACCTCGCGGATAATTGATCGAATCCGAGACCAGCTATCGCAAATTGACGAGACACGAAAGCGGACGGCAGTATACGAAGACGCGCCGGTGGGGTACATCGTCGTGTAACATCGTCATATGTGTACGAGCATAAAGGGAAACATACAGGCAACAAACATCCTGGAACAATAGCGTTTGTTATCCGCACAACGTCATTTCCCGAACGTCCACCGATCGCCCACGGTAGCAGCTGTAACATCGCTACTTTCACGCTATCGATTTTTCCAACGGGCTACGCGGAGGAGCAAATCAACGGTCTGCTTACATCGTCTGCAAATATCGTACCAAGCTTTCGCGAATCTACCATGTATATAAGACGGAAGCGACATATGCGATACGTATAAATATTTATTCCGAACGTCTATAGATAAGTATTCGGAACTTCGATTGCACGCTTTGCTCTCCTTAAATATACATGTTACAAGATAAATTCGAAGATACAGAAAAATTTCTCATAAAAGATAAATGAGATTTTATAGAGCAACATTCTGAATTGATTCGAAAATACGAAAGTTAAGTTAATTATCGCGACAGTAAAGCGCTGGTACCGTGCGCGCTAAGATATGACGATTCGATGGGTCGACAGGACGTCAAACATAGAGAAGGAAAGTAGAAATATAGTAAGAGTGGGGACCGTCATATATGTAACAGGATAGAACTGTTTATGAAGTATATATAATATATATATATTTATATATATAAGGGTTTTTCAATGCGCATATCTTGTATCAAGGACGTAGATTGTTCGATCGTGGTAACAAACTCACCTTAACCCGCTGCAGATCAATCGGGTTCATGATGGTCCCCTGAAAGAACTCCACGGTGGTGAAGTGCCGCTTGAACAGTCCTTCCAGTTCGAGATCAGGCGGTTTCCTGAACGGATCCGACAAAATGATATGATTTCTTTTATAAATAACATTCACCTCAGCTGTCGACAGTCGCGTCCTTTTTTGCGAGAATATGTCGTCGAGTAGGCCGACAGAGGAGTCGGCGAAGATTTCGTTAGAACGTGAATGAGTAATACAAAATTCGTTGCGCGTGCTCGCGCACTTTTGAGGGAGAGCTGTGCACGTATCGCACTGTTTTCGATTCGTTCAAGTCGGTCTCGACGATTCTGCATTCTATAATTAAGCCGTGCAGTGCGCAGATTGATCCAATTGTGCGGGCTCATCCTCAATGGGAACGCGAGTACGCTGATATATAATAATAAATCTCTAAGTAAAGTCTCTACTGCAGCTGAGTCGGCTCCATAGCTCAATACAGCATACCATGCAGTCGCAGGCGGTTGCTTTCTACGTAAATATATATATATATATATATACATATATGTATATATATGTATGTATATATATAGATACGTATGTATATCTTTCGCCGTCCGGTGCCGCGTCGTTTTTGCATTCACAGGATATACTCGAAAGCGTCACTTTATACGACCATATTGCAAACTGCAGTATAGCGAACAATCGTCGGAGTCGCGCGCGGAAAACCGCGGGAAAATATGCACCACCGAGGCGAACTGGTGTTTTCAATCGCGCCGCACCGGACGTTTCGATAATTTGTGAAAGAAAGAGAGAGAGAGAGAGAAAGAGAGCGAAAATCGAGAAAAAAAAGACAGAAAATAAATCTAAAGAATGTAGCGAGCATTCGGTGTGATCCGCGAGCGTATGCGTACTATGCGTACGCACGAATCACCAGATACGAGAGATTCTATAAGAGAAGTAGCGATTATATATGTATATATATATCAACATGAGACTGCATGACGTGTGACATAAATATATATGTACGTAAATATAGATATATATAATATATATATATGCATAAGAGATACATAAGTATATATATATCGATCGACCATCACGGCGTGTTATACCCAGGCGAATAACCGTGTAATAACCTAAAGAACTGCAAGGAAACAAGAAGCACGAGCGGCCACGTGGAGGGCATTGATGGAGGGTTGGTTGGTTGATGGAGGTTTTCGTGTGGTGGTTGTTCTAGGGTTCAGGGTACCTTGACGCGCTCCAGATCCACGGCATTCATCATGGTGCCCTGAAAAAACTCCACGGTCGTGTAATGCCTCTTCAGGAGACCCTCTAATTCGAGGTCCGGCTCTTTCCTGAAAAAAAGCAAACCACTCTCCTTACGACTATAGCGATCAGACTTTGCACGTGCGACGGACGTGGAGAACGCGTGTCCTTCTCGCGTATCCTTCACGTTCACTGGACAATCCGATCCCTTGATGGAGTATCTTTGTTTGTAATTCGAAACCCCGCTGGAAGTTTTACGGTTCGATAAAACGCGGAGCTAATGGAGTCTGATCACTTTAAGTCGCTTGGCGACGGAAAATCTCTCTCGGAGGGCGACATATACTCACCACTGAGTCGCCAACGCAGAAAATAAAATATTATTTGATGTATGAGACAGTGATAAGAAATAAATGGAAGATGTTTGAGAGCCAGGTCAAATTATTGTGATAATCAACGAGTAACAATGTCTGTGTACAAATGAACAATTGTATATATTTTGTACTGGAGTAAGATACGTAAAATTTTTACTTCCTGTAAAAATATAAAACGAGTATATTGTGTTATTGCATGTAATGGAGTATTGTAAAATAACATGTAAGCAACAATAAATGACCGCCGGCCGTTTGCACACGCCTGCGTTAACTGATGATTCAAAAAAATTAATTAATGATGTAAAACGAGATGTATAAAATACAAATTTTATGAGACATATTCGCGCCGGATGATGTGAACCCTTTCGAAACTACCCGCAGTATCAACTAGATACACAGGATCCGGTAGTGTCGAAAGGGTTAAATGCCGCGTTTGACGCGAGCCGGTAAAAATATCTTACGAAAGCAGCGTTCATACCTATGCAAGAAGACAACCTCTACGTCGACGTCCTCGCGATCCTCGTGTAGGAAATCCTTGAGGAAGTGCGAGACCGATTCATAGGTGATGTGACCGCACACGACAATATGTCTGCCAACACAAAGAGCAGATTAGACGATATTCTTAAAGAGACGGTGTTGGTGAATGGCATAGGAAAAATAGAAAGGGAGACTCTCTCAAGCAACTATCATATACACGCTCTAAATAGTATATGTATGTCAACTACTCAATTATACATATAAGTTCTTCTCTCTTCCGCTGCAACTTTTTTGCTTACTTAAAATCTGTTCTTTCTGCCGAATAAGCCTTTTTTTAAAACAAATCCATGTTTATCACGATGCCAAGTGATTAGGCAAAAATATCAAAGAAACAACGAGAAAAGAGAGAAGAACGTTGATGCTGATGAAAAATTATTTTTTTTCTTTCTTCTCTTCGTGCCATTTTAGTCTGCTGCCACAGTAAAATTAGATCTGCTTTTTGTTAAAAGTTACTCTATTTAAGATTAGTTATATTTGCCAATGCAATATACAGCTTGAGAAGAACTAATAAAACATAAATTTAGATTAACTGGAATTATTCCCCCAAAAAAATATATGATTCATCGAGAGATCGATAAACAAGCTCATTTCGAGGAATTTGGATAGTCATACAATAATAAAAAATAATAATAAAAATTACTCGGCACTGGAATAACGCGTGCTCCGTTTGAAAGAGTATCGCGCGTATTCATTGAAAATAAGTAATAAATCAATGGATTGAACTTACCAAAATTGCACTAGGAATTGGAGTGATTCATTTTAACCAATTAGCTATACACATACCTATGTGATAAGTTAGTAGCGCTAGATATACAGTGTACATACACATATCAATGCTGATAAGTGTTAGATCAAATACGCATACACGAGTATAAAAGCTCATTCATGTGTTAGTCGTCGCCATGTATGTCAAGAACAAAACTCTCTTCTACGTGGTGTAATTTCTACGTGCTGTGTATCACATATTGATAGTGAGTTTATATATATATACTCCTACTTCTAGATGTCACTATACAAGTAAGACTATAATTGTAAGTGATGCCCAAAGATAATCAACTCGGACTCGCAAAAGGAAAGATAGCGGAGTTCGACCATGATCCATTCCCATGCTTAATGTCATCTATACTCGGTGATGTTTGACGTTTCGGCTCCATCGTGAACTCAGTAGTCTTCCCGTATCGCTTGCAACAGCGGCGCGTATCCTTTTCACGCGGGAGCCGCGCGATTAGGCGCTACTGGATTCAAAATGCGAGCACGATAATAATACCCGAGCAGAATTACTGGTTACTTTCGTTCTAGATGCAAAGGGGGCCGACGTATCGTGTGCGTATATCGAGATGTGAGCGTGTGTGGGTCGTGGGTAAATGAGCTGTTGCAAAGTCGTTTCTGTGTGTCGCGACCGCTGCCCGATTGGAGAGATCAGGCGGGAGTAGTGCGGATCTGCCGAGAGATCAATGGCGCCCGTCGCGTACCTCAGCCTCCGCGTGCCCGCGCGTGAGAAAAACCGGACGGCTCGTACGCGTTCGCACAAATGAGAGATGCCGAATTCCCGAGTGTCCTTCGTCGTTCACGTGAGAGTTATTCACGCTAGAGTGTCTAGCTGCGGTCGTTCTCTTATCCGGACATGCCTCTATAGTTAGAACGTTTATTAAGACCGCGCTTGCGATGCTATTAGGTGAAGTTGATCATTCATTAAACCAGTATCCGATGACTGAGTACCGATGGAACGTCGATGAGAAACGACGCGCCGCACGCGGAATGATACACGCGAAAGACGGCCAAAAATGGTAATTTTCGTCAAAGCATTTATCATTGTGACAAAAGCTCTTCTGGGTTATTGCTATCGTGTGCGCGCGGATATACGCGTTCATCGATCGTATTTGGCACACGTCATCGCGTATTTGGATAAGGTGCTCGAATGATGATCAGCAGCGTGTTATTGTCGTGATAGACTCCTTCTCACGAAGGATCACGGCCACACTTGCGCTTTTAGTTGTGAATGACAGTTGAACGGGAAAGAAAAGCTCTGAATTGTTCCCTGATCTACGTCGTTCATCTCGGCCCACCGAGGATGTCCTCAACCAGAATCCCTGAGCTACGTTATGAGACCAGCAATCTCAATAATATACACATATTTATTTAGCCAGTATATGCTTCTCCATTTTTTTTCCCCTTTACGAATACGCAAAAAACGATCATTAATACTGTCTAAAACACCAAGATTATTACACTGAAGTGGTACAACATTAGGTTATATATATATATGTATTATATATATGCATATATGTATGCATATATATATATATAATATATATGCATTCAATTGTTCGGATAATGCAGGGTACATGCTGGACGTTTAATCCCTTGCACTCGGAGAGAAATACAGCTCGACATATCAAAGCGCGCGGTTCGTTTAATAGTAATAATAAGATCGTTCGACCGCGATGCTTCTACGTGAATATCGAATAATTAACTCAAGATTCGTTGCGCGAAATTTCTACGGCTTGTTAGCGCGACGCGCACAACCGTGCCCGCTCAGCGCGAAGTTGTGTCACATCCGTTTACAGCAGATTCCGTTATCTGCGTCGTCTCAATTTAGATTCCCTCGAGAGCACGGTTCACGACCGGCGCAATGATTGTGACGTTGATTAATTAAGCAGAAGCATTAAACGCGAACAAGTTGATCTGAACACGACGCCTCTTGTTAAAATCCACTTAAGACCACCGCGCGGTTTGTATTTACAAAATCGTAGAAACGTTTCGTGCGAAATTTTGCGATTCTTAAATATTGAAATAAATATCTCGAGAGATCTTTTTCAATGAAGAAAAACTTCTTGCTGAGTCTCTTCTCTTGCTAAATTTCCGTTCGTTCCACGTTCAACGCTTTATGCGTATGTCAAGCCGCGACGAGCCGTATTTGTCCCAAGTGCGATCAGTGTGTACATACAAGCTAACACCAGTTGCTGGGTGTGGTGGGTAGGCTGTGACGGGGCTGGCTTGTCTGTTGAGGGAAAGGTTTTGCCGGGATAGGCTGGAGTTTACAGGAATGTTTTTGGGGCGGCGGTGGCGGCGGCGGCTGCACTAAGGCCGACTGACAACTAGTGCAATGAGCTGGTACGGAACTGCGGTTTTGCGATGCTAACACTGATCTCTAAATATATGTATATATATATAGATTTATAAGAAAGGGGATTTATCGAAATTGGGATCTCTTCTTGACGAGGATTCAATGTTCATAACGTGCTTCTATCGGGAAATTGCATTCACTGGGAGATTCCGGATCAGAGACGGGGATCAGGAAAGAAATCGGATCGGTGTCGTGTGTGCGCCCGTGTGTCGGAAAAAGTGTAACAGAGGCGTGTAACAGATAGATGCTGTGGGGGGGGGGGGCAAGGTGGATGTTACATAGCCTTTCGTGTACGGGAGAACATATCGTGGGTATGGTGGCAGTCTGGGACTGGGGAACTCAAATCGGGGGAAGCTAATTGGTTGGTTGTGTCTCTCACCTGCGACCTCGCTCGTTCTTCAAAGTGCCGCCGTACTTGTTTCGCGTCCCGATCAGGTCAATTATCTCAGGGATACAACTGGCGAATATGGCCTACACCACGTAATAGAAACAGAACATAACACTCGCATCAATACACTTGTGTGACAGGGTTGGCAGTAGTTTGCTTTTGCTTTCTTTTCGTTTTTTTTTCTTTGCTCTTTTCACACGTATAGGTATTTCGTTCGGTGGGTCGGTCGATCGGTAGGTCGGTCGGTCGGTCGGTTTTAATTTCTCCGACGTGACGCGGCGTCGGGATGGCTACAGTAATCGTTACACGCTGGTTACACAGTATGTCTTTTCTCTTTTTATTAAACGACTGGGAGGACAAGGGGACAAGGATATTTGCATTTATGAACGAAATCAGATTCTGGCTCGCGAACTGCGCAACTACTGATAGAGACGCGATCAGTGCTGTACTGCTACGTCACCGAAAATTAATGATGTGTCGGTTACGAAACACATTATCCAGATAAGAAGGCAGAATAGGTAGACTACCTACATATTTATAAGTCCTACACACCTATACCTAAGCCTAACGAATACTATACATATGCCGATACCGCGTTTACCTAGTCTACACTTAGAGAGTCTACAGTTAGATCCGTTTATATCCACGTTCTTTCACAATTTAATTTTGTGCGCTCAATCGCATATCGTTGTCATTACGAAAACTAACGTTATTTTTTTGCAACAACGTATGGTATCCGGTTAAGTTTTTAAAATATCTTTGTTTTAGTATACTATCCTACTTGAGAATTTGTTTTCAATTTTTTTCCAAATGAAATAAAAAGAAATAAAAGGAAAATTACTTGTTGCGTTTATCAAATGGATGACATTCCTAAAAACTTGGTTAAGAAATTAGCTCGTACAACGATTTTGTAAAGACAAATTTTTTATATCTCCATTTGAAATATAAACGCGAGTAAATATTAACAAAATATATAAAATATGTAAATAATGAAAAATCTGATGTAAGTATTAGGCAAATCTATCTTTCCAAATAAGTCTTTTGAATAGGAAAATCAAGAAATTGCCACAGAAAGCATTACAAAAGTTTTTCAAATATTTTGCAATGTTTGATTATGGAAAATATAATATTGAAAGTATTATATATAAAATTTGTATATTTTAATAATCAAACATAAAATAAATTTTGATTTATACTCAAGATCAAAATTGCTTTGATTATTATAAATTATTTTTCAGTTACTTAGACATGTCTTGCGTCAACCTAAATGAATATCAATTACTCAGTTATATTGAGTCATTAATAATTAATTTAAGTCTACCGTCACAAAATTGTGAGACTATTTTTCGAGTTTGCGATGTATCTTCTTATTCATGGTCCCTACTTAACGCAACGGAATAAAGTGCCGAACTCTTATTAGAAATTAGTTAGCGAGCGGTGTTAGCGTCTGGTTAATGTTAATCACTCGTTCACACTAGTTCACGATACAATCGACACAAGACATAATAAATGCAAGATTATAGTATTTTTGCAAGTT